GGGGGATGACTTTGCCTCTTACCAGTTCAGTTGGTGATTATACGGTTTAGCGGCAGGACTATAAACAACAGTTTCACAATGGGACAGGATGATGCACAGATTCTGAACAAACAGATAAGACCCTGTGCCAGTTTCTTCTGATGCACTCCTTCCTCTACAAGTGATCTACATAATCATTTCCAGGATTTTGCCTCTGCAGAGTAAATCACTTGCCTCTGCAGAAAAATCCACACTATCCTTGGACTATCAGTACATCCGTTCAAACACTGAGCTGGATCTAAACGATACCCTTCCTAACAGTGGAAGTCATCTTCCGCTCACAGAAGGACTGTTTTCCACCTTCCACTAGAGCACCAGAAAAGAAAAACAAGATTAAGTTCACACAGGCTCTTTCACCTGTGTGAGAGGTTGAGCAGGCTGTTGTGGAAGTGGAAGCAAAAAAAACCCGCTATACAAAATATTCGGCGGAACGTTGCAATTAATTCTTCTAACAGCTTTTGAACAAGCCTTTGAAAAACAGCCGCTCCTCCCTTTTGCTGGATTTAACCCATGCTTTTAATTTATTGATCTGAAAGAAAGAAAAACCAAAAACACTTGGTCCGTGGGGAAAGATTTTTTTTTAATTAAGGTCAGAGCAGCAAATTTAGTAGATAAAGCAGACTTTCTACTTGTGAACAGTTTAAGTACTTACATAAGCTAGAAAGCAGGACAGATGCCATAGCTTTCTTCCTGGCATACATTACAGTGCTACATGAGCATCTCACAATATGTGAAAGTCAGCTATGTGGTATGAGTATAATCTAAATAGCTTGAGAGACAGAGGGACAGTAGGTTCCCCTACTCTCCCTCGCAAAAATGAAAGCCCAAGCAAAAACCCAGCTTCAAAAAGCCAAAAATAGAACATTATCTAAATGTGAATTTGCGGAACCATTTGTACTTTAAACAGCTATCATCAATTCCTGTCTCTTAACAATGAATACTGAAGTTGTACAGTGCAGTGATTTGAAGATGCTGACACTACTATGAGTCACACTCAGAGATGTGTGTGCATGTAAAGTGCCCTCAAGTTGCAGCTGACTCATGGCAACCCTGTAGAATTTTCAAGGCAAGAGTTGAACAAAGGTGGTTTACCATTGCCTGCTTCTGTATTGAAACCCTGGACTTCCAAGTACTAACCAGGGTTGACCCTGCTTCACTTCTGAGATCGGGCTTAAGTGCACAGGGAAAAAGCCCAGAAAGATTCAGAAATCCCCCCCCAAAAAAAAAATGTGGAGCAATGCTGAAAAGAAACTCCTACAAAATATTTTCTCTTTTAAAAAATGAGTAAAATGCATCTCAAGGCAAGGTATTTCACATTCAAAAGGTATAGTATAAAAAAATGTATAGACTTTTTCAATTTTTCCAAAGTAAAAATTGGGTAATTTGGGTTAGAACTGGAAAAAAAACACCCCTCTTATGAAGTATCTTCTCTTTTTGAGTGAGAAAAACCTTGTCTGACAAAGCATTTCACTCCTTCCAAATGTACAACATGAAGAAATCTGAGGACTTTCTCAATTTTTCAAGTGGATAAACAGGAAAGTTTGGGGGAGCACTGGGCAGAAAAAACCCCTCTTATGTTGTAGACATATACGGCATTTTCATGTTTTGTTTAAATAATTTTGGCAACAAATAATATAGTACAATGTGTTTAATAATGTATAATTATTAAAATGTCCAATATTTTAAATGCTATAAAGTTTACCTTAATATCCAAACCATCTAATATGACTCCATGAGAGTCTATCCAAAGAATACACTTTGTTTTGTTTGCTAGAGAATCTGTTTCTACCTTCAACTTTTATTTTTTCCTACCTTTCAGATAATAAAAACTAAAGATATATGTGCTATGGCAGCATAGGGTGTACCAGTTTATTCATTAGATTTGTAGCGTGCTTTTTTCCCTGCAACTATTTCTCAAGTATTAAATTCTATAAATATGCCAAATAGTACAATTTTATACACTATGTTATAAACAATGCATTTCATGTTGTTAAACCTTTAGAAGAAATCTCAGTTTCATAGGAATGGAAGTATTGCATACATTTCAATTCAATTTTAAAAGAGGGGGGGTATTTTGCATATCTTCCAAAATTTCCAGAAATCTCAAGCCACCTTTTCCTCAACATCACATTAACAACTGTGACAAACTTCCAAAGTTGGAAGCATCTCGTTTGCATTTGTTTGAACAGCTGCCAAATACAACACAAAGTGAAACCAGTCTATCAGGCAGGTTGCACCTTCTCTTACTCCAAGTCTGGGTGGAAAGGAGCTTGAAATGAAACGAAACAATGGTATCTATGAGTCATGCTAATTACATCTACAAATTATTACCTCAATGGAAGAAATGATCCTGCAAAAACGAGGCACTACTGCAATGACCACTAGTAACAAAAAGGCATGGGCAGAGAAGAGAGACGCCCCACCATGTACCTGGCTACCATAGCATGTCACTGGGCAGGTTTCTGATTGAGTCTAGCAAACTCATTGACAGTGAAGAACTGCTACTTGCCCTTTGCAAAGAGACCAACAGAAATGCTAATCCCGAGATAAGAAAGACATTTGGTGTCACTATCTGCCTCCTAGGGCCAGACAAAAGACAACTGGAGTTTGGTCTGTGAGGACAAAGAATCTCTCTCAGGAATTGGTCATTGCAAAGAGGACTGCTTTGCACTGAGAGCTTTCATCCAAGCTATGTTGCACATTACTACGCATCTGATGTTGCACATGATTTGTCTTCCATCAAAGAGCTTACTTCTGCTAAATGCAGCAGAACTGGAAGCAGAGCGATAGCAGTGCTAAGATATTGCCATAGACTGCTTTTAAAATCCTGGCCCTTGCTCCTTGTATGAGAGCCAAGTGGGACTGGGCTCAAATCATACACAATTATTAGCCCAGTAGCTCCAGTTGGCAAGATATGCTACTTCAGTGCAGCATTTCTTGTGGAAATCAATTATTATTCCATGGTTTAGCAAGAGAAATGGAGAATGCAAGTGTGTAAGTGCATAAGGCATTCATATGCATATGAGATATTCAGTGCCCACAAGTCTGGGCATTCTTGAGTATTTTCCTTCAGTTAATACAAGTATCTACAATTCATCCGGTACATTATCAATGGATGTTTATTTTTCATATCTGTTTGAAAGCTGGTGTTAAAAATACGGACACTTGAACCCAACAATATACCAGTGGAAGGCATACAGAGTTTTCCCACATTCCCCTACAGTCCTTTAGTCCCTACACACATCCTGAAAGCCCGTTCCTGAAATCAAAGGACCACGTGTAGGATGGGGCTACACTGATCAGAGGTGATTTCTTCTCCTCATTGCAGCCTTTAACCAATAGAAGCTGTGGTGATAAGATGTTACTGACGCTGCACATCCTGTTGTCTTGGATGAATGGAATGACAGCACCTTTTCATCTATAGTTTGCTCTGTATTCCATAGATTCTGTTCTTCTCAGGTATTAAAAAAAATGCTCCATGCATATTTTTAAAATTTGGCCTAACCTAACCAGACTTATCTTTCTGTTGACTGGGTCTTCTCAGAGATCATTATGAAAGCTATCTACCTCCTTTATTGTTGTCGATAATGAACAGAATGGGTTTATAGCTTATCCATTTTTGAAATGAGATTTCCATCATGTTAATACTTGATCTTGTAAACAAATATAAGGTTTATCTATATTTGTTTATCTGTTTTAGTCATGTGTGTCCAGATTTTTTTGTAATACCTGATCTTGTGTCAGAACAGCTACACTGATCAGAGGTGATTTCGTCTCCTCATTGCAGCCCCCCTCCCCAAACCAAATGACCATTCCTCCACCTGGGCCCCAGAACCCCATCAATTAGCTGCAGGATGGCCAGAGACGAGGGGGAGCTCCAGTACTGGCTGAAGGAGGCCAGCTGCTGGCCCAGCGTCCTCTGTGCCTAGACTGCAAGGACATCACTCCTTGTCACTAAATCATGATGGTCTTGGATTTTTCTAATCTTTATGGTAAAAACCATACAGATTAGAAAACTCCAAGACCATCATGACATCACCTCCTATTCTCAAACAGAAACAGAAAGACATTGCTTGACACCATTCCTCCACTCTCCCCCCCCCCCCCCCCCCCGCAGTCCATTGATCAACGACAGGGATTGGGATCATCAACAGGCTTCCCACTGGAACCAGCTAAGTGACAATGTTATCTGTGCCTGAGGACCTGAAAGAACTTTTGTCTGGAGGAAAGGACTGTGACCCAATCCATGCCATGTGAGTGTTTTTGTACACTGTTTATCATATGGTAGGATAGTCTGCCCTGACCTGGATGGCTCGATATTGTCAGATCTCAGAATCTAAGCAGGGCTGGCCATGGTTAATACTTGAATGGTAGACCACCAAGGAAGTCCAGGGCTGCTACCCAGGAGCAGGTAACGGCAAACCACCTCTGTTCTTCTCCTGCCTTGAAAACCCTACTGGGTCGCCATAAGTCATCTGTGATTTGACAGCACTTTCCATCACCAGAGTAGTGATTGTTTACTGTGAGCCACTTTGGCCCCTGCTTTGCAGGAGAAGGGCAGGGTAAAAATAAATAATACA